CCGGGCTGGGGATTCGAACCTGCCACCTTAGGTGTACGTGGCTGGCGCCTTAGCCTGTTGAGCTATAGGCGCCGAGCCTGGCTTTGAATTTTTTATTTTACATTTTATTATTTTTTAAAAGACTAGGGTTTTTTTTGACAGAGCCTCAAGCTGTCACCCTGAGTAGAGTGCTGTGGCATCACAGCTCACAGCAACATCCAACTCTTGGGCTTAAACAATTCTCTTGCCTCAGCCTCTCAAGTAGCTGGGACTACAGGTGCTTACCACAACGCCGGGCTATTTTTTTGTTGCGTTTGTCATTGTTGTTTAGCTGGCCCTGGGCCAGATTTGAACCTGCCAGTCTGGGTGTATGTGGCTGGCACCCTACCCACTGAGCTATAGGCGCTGCCCATGGAAGTTTGTTTTTTAAACTTCTCTTTAAATCTCATGTAACTTACTTCAACTGGAAGTGGAGGAGAAATCAATGATGGCAGTGGGAGTTGCAGCAATGGCTATCTACCTGTGTGTCTGTATCACTAAGATTAGAAGTAATGATCAGAGGTCAGAACTCAGATCCTTGATATTTGGAAGACAGTATCTTATTGCCTACTCTCTCTTGTAAGCTGTGTGCAAACTACTCAGAGAATGTACTCTTGACTACAGTGATAAGAGCTGAAATTGACACAAAGTAACTACACCTTACCTTCCATGCCTTACCTTGGAGGCTTCCAGCCCTTGATAGCCTCCAGGTTTCTAAGACAGTTACATCAGACAAATTCTGCCAGAAAAATTGTTGTCCAGTTGGGATGACAGATTCCTGTTGCTTCCTACTCCGCCACCTTCCCTGATGTTACTCTGAGGTTTTGTGTTACAAGGGAACAGACCATGATGATACCTGGGGCATGGCCCTGAGGGTGTGCACACAGACATTTACATGTACATGCAAATATAGGCTGTGATCACAGGCCAGCCCTTAGACTGTGGCTGTGCCAAATTGGGGATGAGAAGAAGGGAAAAACGTATGTGCATGTATATGTGCATGTTTGTCTTTGTCAGTATATGTTCATGTAGGTGGTGTGTGCTGCTTTGTGTTTGTACCTCCATGAGTGTACTTCTGTGCATGTACTTATGATTATATATATATTTGTGAATCTTGCAGCATGTACATTCGTGGGGACACCTAAAAGCATGTTCCTTTGTAATTGCACTGTGCAGTTACCTCTCTAAGGGTAACCCTGAATGTGTGCGTCTGTGTATGTTCTTCTTCATCTGTACCTTGTTTGTGACCCCTAAGCATGTATTTCCTTATGTTTGCCATGATTGTGTACTTCTGTGTGAGTACCTCCGAGCATGCACCTCTGTGTATACCTTTGTGTGTGTACCACTCAGCATTTACCTTTGAGTGTGTAGCTATGCATGTACTTCTGAGTGTGTACCTCAGTATGTGCCTCTGTGTGTACTTCTGAGCATAGATCTCTGCATCTTCAGGAGCCTGAGGTGAAGTTAGCACTTTAGTGGGGGAGGGCCTCCTGAGGCTCACTGACCCTCCTCTGCTCCCAGGACTCGTATCTCCTTGACTACTTCCTCTTTCTGAACCGCTACTTTGAGGTGGGGGCCCCAGTATATTTTGTTACTACCTCGGGCTACAACTTCTCCACTGAGGAGGGTATGAATGCCATCTGCTCCAGCGCTGGCTGTGCCAACAACTCCCTCACCCAGAAGATCCAGTATGCCTCTGAGTTCCCTGAGCAGTGAGTGTCTGGTCTGCCTGGCTGCTGGCCTGTTCCCTGTCTGTGCACCCTGCAATCCCCTCTTCCTGCTTATTCTACCCCTCCCCTTGCCCCGCTGTCCTGTGGCCTCTTGCCTGGGAAGGCTCAGCCTGGGGGTTGGGCCACAAGAAAGACCTACGACCCTGCCCAGCTTGTTCTTCTCCTTTCCCCTCTCTCTTGCACTCAGGTCTTACCTGGCCATTGCTGCCTCTTCCTGGGTGGATGACTTCATTGACTGGCTGACTCCGTCCTCCTGCTGCCGCCTTTATATCTTAGGCTCCAATGCGGGCAAGTTCTGCCCCTCCACCGTCAGTGAGTATGGGACCTTGTGGGGGGGGGGCTTATTGCCTACCACAGCTTGGGGAAACTGAGACTAGAGAAAGGAAAGGACCGGAGAGCTTCTCTCTACTCCTCTCACTCCTCCTGCAGGGCCTATTGGAAGCAGGGGAACAGGTTTGGCTTCAGAGACAGGCGCTCTGTGAGGAGTACCTGTGTGGGTGGCTGTGCTAGACCATGGGCCTTCAAACACTTATGCTTGGCATATATGGATCCCTGCTTGCAAAGCATGTGGCGCTTGCTGTGGTGGGGTGGGAGGGTGGCAAGGAGTCAGAGGTTGGTGCATGGCCTCACTGCCTGGAGCTGCTGCATTTGCAGGTTGAGTGCAAGGCCCCTGTGGGACCTGTTTCTCTGCCCCAAACTTCCCTTCCCCACCTACTGCTTGTAGGTGCCAGCAGTTTCTATAACTAAGAGGGAGAACTTCTCCTACAGTCAGAGATGACAAGTGAAAATCCCCCTAGAAGTGACTTTGAGGCAAGAATGCCTGGGGAAACTTTCATGGGAAGGGAGGAGAAAGAGCAGGACAGAGCAGGAATAGAGCTGGTCGTGGGGTGCTGCTGTCCAGAGTCCCCCTCTCTCTGCAGACTCCTTGAACTGCTTAAAGAACTGCATGGACTTCACAATGGGCCCCGTGCGGCCCTCAGTGGAGCAATTCCACAAGTACCTCCCCTGGTTCCTGAGTGACCCACCCAACATCAAATGTCCTAAAGGGTAGGCTTGGGAGGTCTTCTACTGTGGAGGGTGGACCTGGGGGCAACAGGAGGGGGATAAACGCAGTGGAAAGAAGGAAGCTGTGAGGGCCTCTGCGGGGAGGCTGGGTGCTGGATAGAGGGAAAGAGCCTAGTCCCCGCTAAGTCTTTGCCCTGGCTTCTCCCGCAGCGGCCTGGCAGCTTACAGCACCTCTGTGAATCTGAGCTCAAATGGCCAGGTCTTAGGTAAGCATAGCCTCTCCTGGAGGGGAGGACAAAAGTGGGCTGTCTGGACAGTCCTGAGAGCCCGGGGAATAGCCTCTCTCCACCTTACATACTCTCTCATTCGCGGGAGCCTCTAACAGTGCTACCTCTGTCAGCAAGCGGCCTGTTTCCCAGCGCCACATTCTCAGACTTTGCCCCTTCTTCTATGCTCGAGTCCACATTTAGCATGGAATTTGTGGAGTTCTTTTAGAAGTTGATTCCATACTGGGGGGTCCCTACACCCTAGGCTAAGCACCTTTTCTTGCCTGCACAACTTACCCCAATGTCAGCAGTGGCATTGGGGTAAGTTGAATTAGTTAACTGGCTAAATGAATTAGGATGCCTGGGCAGTGCACTCCTAGCAACCATTAGAAGTAACAAGGGAGATGCAGTTGAACTGGCGGGGAAAAGAGCCACGACGTGTTCCTGAACTCAGCCCCAGCAGAATGAGCTGGCCATCTGAGCCAGAAGCTGGCCACAGCTCCGTGCCCATGTGCTTGGCCAGGGGTCCCTGAGGAGCTGCAGCTGGAGATGGATCTGGGGTCAGCAAGTGGAGACAGAAGGCTTCAGTGCAATTCAATTTGCCCTGAAATCCTTCATGGTTTGCATCACTAGCTACAAACTGATGAAAGCTGCTTGCTCCACCTGCCCACTAAATCTTCCATGAAGGACCCATCTTCCCAGAAGGGCAATCTGCCACACCACGGCCCTGGTCCCTGGCCACAGCATGCTCTGTGTGGGCCGCATGGTGGGGCCAGTGTGGGTAGAAGGGACTAGGAGTCTCAGTCAGGGACAGAAGAGTAGGCCCTGGAGGGAGGAGAGGGGGAGCCAATCTCCTGCGACCTGGGGCAGATCTGTGCCCACTTCTGACCCTGTGTCTCCTTGTGTGTGCACTGGGTTAGTCTAGAGCAGTGCTTCCAGACTGCTGGGGTCCCCTGGCCAGGAGCATTAGCATCCCCTGGAAATTGTTAGAAATGCAAGGTCTAGGCTTCACCTGAGTCCTTCCAGACCTGAATTTCCAGGCTTGGGTGGCCATCTGTGTGTGAGCCAACCTCCAAGTGATCAGAGACCTGGCAGAAGGCTCTCCAGTCACTGTGACGTTGCATATGTCCAAGAATATTTCTTTTCTTCTTTATATGTAGCTGTTGTTTCTTTTCCAAATCCACATGGTCACTGTACACAATTGAGAAATAACCTTGGGTGGTGCCTGTGGCTCAAACAAGTACATCACTGGCCCCATATATCAGAGCTGGTGGGTTCAAACCCAGCCCCGGACCAAAAAAGAAAAAATGAAATAACCTTTATTGGCTCAGCACCCATAGCACAGTGGTTATGGTGCCAGCCACATACACTGAGGCTGGCAGGTTCAAATCCAGCCTGGGCCAGCAAAAACAACAATGGCAGCAACAACAAAAAAATAACCAGGCATTGTGGCAGATGCCTGTAGTCCCAGCTACTTGGGAGGCTGAGGCAAGAGAATTGCTTAAGACCAAGAGTTTGAGGTTGCTGTGAGCTTTGACGCCACAGTACTCTACTGAGGGTGACATAGTGAGACTCTGTCTCAAAAAAATAACAACAAAAAAGAAATAACCTTTATTGTATTTACTTGGAAGGAGCTCTAAGCCACAGCTCTAACAATTCAATTGCTTGTGAATTCCATTCAACTGACATTTTTCTGTCTTCCTTTCTGGTCTTTCCTATAGGAAGATGTAAATTTGAAAGCTAATTAATCTTTAACATCCAATGAATATCTTGAAACCTTACAGAGAAGAATTTGGGTTCATCAGGAAGATTTTTTTTTCTTTTTTTTGAGCCAGAGCTTCAACCTGGGTAGAGTGCTGTGCCATCACAGCAACCTCCAACTCCTGGGCTCAAGCAAGTCTCCTGCCTCTGCCTCCCAAGTAGCTGGTGCCCACCACAACACCTGGATTTTTTTTTTTTTTTGGTTGCAGCCATCGTTGTTGTTTGGTGCACCTGGGCTGGATTCGAACCTGCCACCTTAGGTGTATGTGGCTGGCGCCTTAGCCGCTTGAGCCCCAGGCGCCGAGCCAGGAAGATTTCTTTAGACTCCACACATCAAGGCTTGGGCCCAGTCTTGAATCTCCCACGGCCGTAGGACCAGCTATGGAGTTTGCAGGGATGGTGCAAAATAAAAATTTGGGCTCCTTGCACAAAATATACTAAGAATTCCAAATGGCTGTGACAGATCCCTGAGCCCAGCTTGATCAGACACTTGTGCCACTGCCCGTGGGTGTTCTGAGGATGTCCTAGAATGAGTTCTGACCTATGCTTTGTCCTCTCCGTTGTGCCACTGTCCCCAGCCTCGCGGTTCATGGCCTACCACAAGCCCCTGAAGAACTCACAGGATTTCACAGGAGCTTTGCTGGCAGCTCGGGAGCTGGCAGCCAACATCACCGCTGACCTGCGGAAGGTGCCTGGGACAGACCCAGCCTTTGAGGTCTTCCCCTACACGTGAGGACCTGAGTGGTTAGGCTGGAGGGAGGTGGGGGTGATTGCTAGGTACAGGAGATTAGGGTGGTGGGTTTCAAGAGTTTGCTTGAATGAGGACCAGCTTCAGGTCAGGAGGCTCCAGCTGTGGCTCTGGGCCTGTCCATTTTCCACGCTTGCTCATACCCTAACCTGTGCCCACATGAACCTTTAGCATTCTCCTTCTGAAGTAGAGGTGGCCTGCTCACCTTAAGGGGCTGCAAGGCCTGTGCCTGTGACCACACTGTGCTCTCTGGCAGGATCAGCAATGTGTTTTATGAGCAGTACTTGACTGTCCTCCCCGAAGGGCTCTTCATGCTCAGCCTCTGCCTAGTGCCCACCTTCGCTGTCTGCTGCATTCTGCTGGGGATGGACCTGCGCTCCGGCATCATCAACCTGTTCTCCATTGTCATGATTGTCGTGGACACTGTTGGCTTAATGGCCCTGTGGGGCATCAGCTACAATGCTGTGTCCCTCATCAACCTGGTCACGGTAACCCACCAGACACAGGCATCAGGTGGCCCCTGGAGGGGTGGTTGGGGATCTCGCCTCATAGAATACTCCCAGTTCTGACTAGAATCTAGATTCTTGCCCCACTGGTATCAGCGAAGATCTGTGCCTTTCTTGGCTGAAGCCCCCTCTTTGCCCACAGGCGGTAGGCATGTCTGTGGAGTTTGTGTCACACATCACCCGCTCCTTTGCCATCAGCACCAAACCCACCAGGGTGGAAAGGGCCAAAGAGGCCACTATCTCTATGGGCAGTGCGGTGAGTGGGATGAGGGGTCTCATCCAGTGTCCTGCCTGAAGCCCTGTGCCCATCTGATACCGTGTGCCCTGCCTGATGTCTTGTGCTCCACCTGATGCCTGGCTGTGGCCCCCAGGTATTTGCAGGGGTGGCCATGACCAACCTGCCTGGCATCCTTGTCTTGGGCCTCGCCAAGGCCCAGCTCATCCAGATCTTCTTCTTCCGCCTCAACCTTGTGATCACCCTGCTGGGCCTGCTGCACGGCCTGGTCTTCCTGCCAGTCATCCTCAGCTACCTGGGTGAGTGCCAAGGCCCACTCCTGCCAGGCTGTCATAGTTATGATGATCACAATAGAGCATGCTCACCATGCAAACTCAGGGAGTATGCACAAGCCATAGGCAAACGTCAGAAGCACATGCACAGCTAAGAACATGACCACGCAGCATTTCCCATTTTACCTCTTTCTTTTTTTTTGAGACAGAGTCCTAAGCTATCACCCTGGGTAGAGTACCATGGCATCACAGCTCACAGCAACCTCCAACTCTTGGGCTTAAGTGGATTCTCTTGCCTCAGTCTACCAAGTAGCTGGGGACTACAGGTGCCTGCCACAATGCCTGGCTATTTTTTTGGTTGTTGTTGTTGTTGTTTGTTAGGCCTGGGCTGGGTTCGAACCCACCAGCTCTGGTGTATTTGGCTGGAGCCCTAGCCGCTGAGCTATAGGTGCCAAGCCTAGTACAAATGTCCTTATGATAAAATGATTTTTTTCTTCTGGGTAGATGCCTAGTAATAGGACTGCAGGATCAAATGGGAGATCTAATGTGAGTTCTTTGAGGATTCTCCATACTTCCTTCCAAAAAGATTGTATTGGTTTGCAGTCCCACCAACAGTGTAAAAGGTATTCTCTTTTCTCCACATCCACGCCAACATCTGCAGCTTTGAGACTTTGTGATGGGAGCCGTTCTCACTGGGGTTAGGTGATATCTCAGGGTGGTTTTGACTTGCCTTTCTGTGATGATTAGGGATGATGAGCATTTTTTCAAATGTTTGTTAGCCATTCATCTGTCTTTATCAGAGAAGGTTCTGTCCATATCTCTTGTCTGATTATATTAGCTAGAACTTTCAGCACTATGTTGAATAGTAGTTGCAATAGAGGACAACCTTGTCTGGTTCTAGTTCTAAGTGGAAAAGCTTTCGTTTTACTCCATTCAGTGTAATATTAGTTGTGGGTTTGTTGTAGATGGTTTCAATCAGTTTAAGAAATATGCCACCTATGCCTATATTCTTAGATGTTCTAATCAGAAAATGATGTTGAATTTTATCAAATGTTTTTCTGCATCTGTTGATCATATGCATATGTTGTTTTTGCTTCTGTTGATATGGTGAATTATGTTTATGGACTTGCCTATGTTAAACCAGCCTTGTATCTCTGGGATGAAACCTACTTGATTGTGATCTATAATTTTTTAAATGTGTAACTGTAATCTATTGGCTAGGATTTTATTGAGAATTTTTGCATCTATATTTATTAGTGAAATTGGTCTGAAGTTCTCTTTTTTAGTTGGGTGTTTTCCTGGTTTTGGTATCTGGGTGATGTTTGCTTTGTAGAATGTGTTGGGGGAAGATTCCTTTCTGCTCAATGTTTTGGAATGATTTCTGAACTATGGGTATAAACTCTTCTTTGAAGTTTTGATAGAAATCTGGTGTGAAGCCATCTGGACCAGGACATTTTTTTTTCTGGGAGATTTCTTTGATCTTAGTGCTTGAAATCATTCTGTTCAGGAGATCTATTTCTTCTTGGTTAAATCTAGGGAGAGGGTGTGATTCCAGGTATTGATCCATTTCCTCCACATTGTCAAGTTTTGGGGCATGGTGTTTCTCATAGTACTCAGAGATAATCTCTTGTATCTTTGTGGCATCTGTTATGTCCCCTTTATGATTTATGATTGAGGTTATTAGAGATTTTACTTTTCTGTTTCTAGTTAATCTGGTCAAGGTTTATTGATTTTATTTATTTTTAAAAACACTTTTGTTTCATTAATTTTCTAAATGACTCTTTTGTTTTAAATTTCATTCATCTCTGATTTAATTTTGGTTATTTCTTTTCTTCTGCTGGGTTTGGGATTAGATTGTTCTTCTTTTTCCATTCCATAAGATCATTCATTAATTTGTTGATATGCTCTCTGTTTTTTGAATGTAGGCATCTAATGCAATAAATTTCTCTCTTTAGACTGTTTATGCTATATCCCACAGATTTTGGTAACTGTGTCTTCATTATTGTTATGTTTGAGGAATTTAATAATTTCCTCCTTTATCTCTTCCTGAACCAAACTATCATTCAGCAAAAGGTTGTTTATGCTATCGGGTTTTTAGGCATGACCTTCAACAAGAATTACATTGAGAGGTGATTCTCATGAGCACATGGATACACATAACTAAAACACATGTTTCACAAAATAATACTTTGTCATTAATATTTAAAACTCCGGTATTAATCTATGGATTGATTTCATGACTCATTAGTGGATGGCAATTCTTAATTAGAAAACACTGGCTCGGTGCCTGTAGCACAGTGGTTACGGTGCCAGCCACATACACCGAGGCTGGCAGGTTCAAACCCAGCCTAGGCCAGCTAAACAACAATGAGAACTGCAACAAAAAATAGCCAGGCATTGTGGCAGGCACCTGTAGTCCCAGCTACTTGGGAGGCTGAGGCAAGAGAATCGCTTAAGCCCAACAGTTTGAGATTGCTGTGAGTTGTGATGCCATGGCACTCTATGGAGGTCGACATAGTGAGACTCTGTCTCAAAAACAAACAAACAAACAAAACTTAATTAGAAAACACTATCCTATAGAAGGTTCCATCATGATTTAGTTAACCAGCTCCTAACTGTTGGACACTGGATTATTTCTGACTTTCCACCCCCGCTGTCAATGCTACAGTGAATGATCTTGTGGCTGAAGCTTTGACCTCATCCTCCAACACTTTCTCTCCTGGCTGCACAATTTGCATGTGGTCCCTGCCTGCCTCTCTGACTGTGGCCCTTTATCTCTGTCTCTGCAGGGCCTGATGTCAACCCTACTCTGAAGCTGGAGCAGGAGCTGGCTGAGGAGGCAGCAGTGGCCAGGGCAGCCACCAACATCTATGTCAACCATGGCTTTGAAGATCCTGTCAAGGATACTGGTACCATTAGCTCTCCGGCTCTGAACTGATGGGCCATGAAAATTTTCTTGTAATTGTCCATGGACACCTCACTCCCACACAAGCTTAGGGAAGCTGTTCCCTGAGACTGCCTATCTCTTGAGAACGCTATGCCCTCTGACCATGAGGCTTCCTGGCAGTACTGCTGATGGCTCCTCTGCTCCCATAGTGGACCCCTGGTTTCTGAGGCACTTGGGCCTCATTTAGCATAGAGTGCCTACTCCTACAGTTCCTGGGTCTTAGAGTTGCCCGGAATAGATACAGTCTATGTTTTCCCAGACTCAGACTCTTTCATAGGTGCTGCTTCTCTTTCAACAGATTAGATTCTTCTGTTAAAAAAACCTCAATTCTAAGTCAATAAGTCTTTAAGACTGACCAGTGTCCCTGAGAACAGAGAGTGACTCCACTTTGGGCTGTGACACCACGGGAGTCCAGGAAGAGGCCAAGGCTCAGGCTGAAAACAGCAACTGCCCTCTGCTGGGTGCACCTGCAAAACTGCCATCCACATCTTTCTGGTGAGGGAAGGGCCCAGGGAGGATGTTCTCCTAAACACATTTGTAATGGATTCACCTCACCTGGAAAATAGTGTTAGGTTTGGTCATCTCCAGGTGAGACTGCTGCTAGTTGATGCCATCTGGGCTGGGAGCTCTTGGGGCCAAACTGGGCTTCCCGCCTCCATTGGCCTGTTGGCCTCAAACTAGCCCAACCTGAGTCTCCATGGAGAAATCTTCAGATGCACAAGCTTTAGAAGAGAGAAAGAAGCCTTGCTCTGTGCTGAGTATACAAGTGCTTAATAAATATTTGTTGGGAAGAAATGGTATTTTCTGTCTCGTGTCTTACTCTGGCTGCTAATTTTTGTAAATGGCACAAATAATACATGTGTGGGAGCAAGATGTTTTTAGATATTGATTGTGTTTTATTTCCCCACCCTCTTTACAAGAAAATAGCCAGGCTGCTGTGTACCTGTGCCTTACAAATGCCTTTGAGAGTGGGAGTAATTTCTCCTCAAACTGGGAGGGCACAGAGAGTAGCCTGGGACTCAGCCAAGAGTAGGATGTGTACCTTCTCCATTTCTGGGAACATCCTGTGAAGTAGGCAAAACTTGGAGAACCCCTTGGAGAACCCAGGGATGCATTACGGGAGGGAAGGACAAACCACACAAACTACCAGCTACCAGGTTGGAAACGTGGGTGAAAATGTCAAGGAACATTCAAGATCCCCCTTGAGCCTTTCTGCTCCCTTCTGGGTCCAGCCCTTCTTTTGCTAAAAAGCTACCATGGCTTCCTGTGCTCCAAGGGCCTGTCAACATGTAAAGGGAAGACTAGCAAAAGAGGTGGAAGGCTAGTATTTCTAGAACCTACTCTCTACTCTCTTGTCCTCATTAATTCACCTTTGGGAGAGTTGCTGGCTAGCTAAGATGGATAGGAACTCTGTAAAGGCAGAGTTACCAGGAAGTAGAGGCTGAGGAGAAATCACACAAGTCACCCTGTTAAAAACTCCAAAGGAGTAAACAAATAGATCTGAGGAACATATAGTTTGTGCTAACAGTGACATTGCAAATCAGAAGAAAGGATAGGCCATTCAATAAATGATGTGGGAAGAGTAGCAGATCATTTGGCTCAAAATAAAATTGTATCTATATACCATACACAAAACCAGAAGTACAGATAGCTGAAAGAGCTAAATAGTATAAAAACAAAATTATACAATTATCAGAAGAAAACGTAGAAAAGTACGTTATAATCTTGAGGCATAGGATCCAGAATCAACAAAAGTAAAGACTAAAGATATGACTACATAACAATTGAAAACTTCTATAAACACACACAAAAACTTAAAAGAAGTTGAAAGACACATCATGAGCTGGGAAAAATATTTGAAACATGTTTAATGGCAAAGAATGTAAATCAAGAATATACAAAGAGAAGAAGAGGTGGGCTTAGTAATGACTAATTCTCTCACTGAAAACAACACAAGTTCTAGCTGAAATCTTAAAATATACATATATTTAGTGGAATCAAATTTAGAATTATATCTTCTTGATAAATTGAAAATTTTGTAGTTTTGAAATGCTTATAAAAATGTCCTTCCTTATCTCTAGCATTTGTATAAGGTTATTGTATATGTATACACACACATATAAAAAGTAACCTTATACAGCTGAATGAACCTTATACGTTTTTTGAGACAGAATCTCATTCTGTTGCTTTGGTTAGACTGCCATGGTGTCATTATAGCTCATAGAAACCTCAAACTCTTGGGCTTAAGTAATCCTCTTGCCTTAGTTTTCCTATTTTTAGTAGAGACTGGGTCTCACTCTTGCTCAGGCTGGTCTTGAACTCCTGAGCTTAAGCAATCGACCTGATTTGGCTTCTTAGAGTGCTAAGATTATAGGCATGAGCCAGCCTATGCCTAGCCCAAATCTTACATTTTTTTCATTTTTGAGACAAAGTCTCAAGCTGTCACCATGGGTAGAGTGCTGTGGCATCATAGCTCAGAGCAACCTCAAACTCTTGGGCTTAATCAAATCTCTTGCCTCAGCCTCCCAAGTAGCTGGGACTACAGGTGCCTGCCACAGCACCTGGTTATTTTTCTGTTGCAGTTGTCATTGTTGCTTTAGCTGGCCTGGGCCAGATTTGAACCCACCAGCCTCAATGTATGTAGCTGGTACCCTATCCACTGAGCTATGGGCAAAGCCCACAAATCTTATACTTAATTGTAAAATATTGAAACCCTTTCCCTTGAGATTGGGAATGAGATAAAAATGCACACTTTTACCCAACACTGTACTGGAGGTCTCAGCCATTGCAATAAAGTAAGAAAAAGAAATTAATTTCATAAAGATTAGAAATAAAAGGCCAGGCAATAAAGTAAGAAAAAGAAATTAAGTTCATTAAAATTAGAAATAGGGTGGTGCCTGTGGCTCAGTGGGTAGGGCACCGGCCCCATATATAGAGGGTGGCGGGTTCAAACTTGGTCCCAGCCAAACTGCAACAAAAAAATAGCCAGGTGTTGCAGCAGGTGCCACCCTACTCCAGAGGCTGAGGCAAGAGAATTGCCTAAGCCCAGGAGTTGGAGGTTGCTGTGAGCTGAGTGACACCACAGCACTCTACCAAGGGCGATAAAGTGAGTCTCTACAACAACAACAACAAAAAAAATTCTGTCTCTCTAAAAAAAAAAAAAATTAGAAACAAAGGCCAGGGGAGGTGGTTCAAGCCTGTAATCCACCCCCCATCCCCCACCCCCACCCCCGGAGGCCAAGGAGGGTGGATTGCTTGAGCTCAGGAATTCCACACCAGCCTGAACAAAAGTAAGACCCTGTCTCTAAAAATAGCCGGGTATTGGCATCTGTAGTCCCTTGCTACTCAGGAGCTGAGGCAAGAGGATCACTTAAGCCCGAGAGTTTGAAGTCCCTATGAGCTGTACAATGCCATGGCATTCTACCAAAGGCAACTGAGACTCCAAAAAGAAAGAACAACAAAAAATTAGAAATAAAGTTATCATTAATCATCATTCACAAATGACATGATTGTATACAAAAACTATCCACACTCGGGGATACTGAGGTGGGAGAATTGCTTGAGCTCAGGAGTTTAAGAGTGAGACCCTATCTCTACAAAAAATAGAATTAGAAAAATAGTAAACAACAACAAAATAGCTGGGCATTGTGATGGGTGTCTGTAGTCCCAGCTAGGGGGGTGGGAGGGGGGCTGAGGTAAGAGAATCCTTAAGCCCAAGGGTTTGAAGTTGCTGTGAGCTGTGATGCCACAGCACTCTGTGAGGGTGACACAGTGAGACTTTGTCTCAAAAAAGAAAGAAAGAAAGAAAGAAAAGAAAAGAAAAGAAAAGAAAAGAAAAGAAAAGAAAAGAAAAGAAAAGAAAAGAAAAATTGAAAAATTGGCTGGGTATGGTGGTGTGAGCCTGTAGGTCCAGCTATTTAGGAGGCTGAGGCAGGTGGCCCAAGCCCAGGAGTTTAAGGTTGCTGTCAGCTATGATTATGCCACTGTACTCTAGTCAGGGTGACAGAGTGAGACCCTGTCTCAAAAAATAAAAAGAAAAAAAAGAAGATCTAAGATCCTGAAGCATTTCTCCAATATTTTCTTTTAGAAGTTTCATAGTTTCAGGTCTCATATATTTAAGTCTTTAATCCATTTTTATCTGATTTTTGTATATGGCAAGAGATAAAGGTCTAGCTTCATTCTTCAGCATATGAATATCCAGTTTTCTTAGCACCACTTATTAAATAAACTGTCCTTTCCCTACCGTATGTTCTTGATACCTTTGTTAAAGATAAGATCACTGTGGATGTGTGGATTTATTTCTATGTTCTCTTTTCTGCTCCATTGTCTGTATGTCTATTTTTATGCCCGTACCATGCTATTTTGGTTACTACAGCTCTATAGTACAATTTGAAGTCAGGTAATGTGATTCTTCCTGTTTTGTTCTTTTTGCTTTGTCTATTCTGGGTCTTTTGTGATTCCATATAAAATTTAGGATTACTTTTTTTATTTCTGTGAGGAATGTCATTGGTATTTTGATGGGGATTGCATTGAACCTGTATGCTTTGGTTAGTATTAACATTTTAACAATATTGATTCCTCCAATCCATGAGCATGGAATATCTTTCCATTTTTTGTGTGCTCTTCAATTTCTTTCATCAAAATTGTATAGTTTTCATTATAGAGTTTTTTCACTTCTTTGGTTAAGTTTCTTCCTAGGTATTTTATTTTATTTGTAGCTATTCTAAAATAAGATTACTTTTTTGATTTCTTTTTCAGATTGATTATTGTTAGTAGATAGAAACACTGCTGATTTTTGATTGTCAATTTTGTATCCTTCGGCTTTACTAAATTTATCAATGTCTGATTGATTGCTCTAGCTAGATCTTTCAGTATTATTTGAATAACAGTGGTGAAAGTAGGCATTCTTGTCTTGTTCCAGATCTTAAGAGGAAAGGCTTTCAGTTTTTCCCTATTAGGTATGATCCTGGCTGTGGATCTGTTACATATGGCTTTTATTGTATTGAGGTAAGTACCTCCATGCCTAGGTTTTGAGCTTTTTTTTAAATAATGAAAGGTTGTTGAATTTTAGCAAATATTTTTTCAGCATCAGTTGAAATGATCATATGGTTTTTGCCCTTCATTCTGTTGATATGATGCATCATATTGATTAATTTCCATGTGTTGAATTATCCTTGCATCCCTGGGATGAATCCCTCTTGGTCATGCTGAATAATCTTTTTAATATTTATGTTGGTAAATTCAGTTTGCTGGTATTTTGTTGAGGATTTCTGCATCTATGTTCATCAATGTTGGCTATTCTTTTTTTGTTGTGTCTTTGTCTGGTTTGGGTATCAGGGTGATATGTGCCTCATAATCTGAGGGTATTAACTCCTCTTTGATTTTTTGGAATAGTTTAAGTAGGACTGGTATTAGTTCTTTGGATGCTTGATAAAATTCAGCAATGAAGCCATCAAGGCCTGGGCTCTTTTACTGTAGAATTTTCATTATTGCTTAATTTTTTTGAGACCTGTTTTGCGACTTAACATATGGTCTATCCTTGAGAATTATCCATTAGTTGAGGAGATGAGTATGTGTTTGCTTTCCATTTACATGGAATATTTTTCATTACTGATTGATTCAAATTTTGGATTTTTTTCTTAGTTCCAGCTTAGTAGGTTGCAGTTGTCTAGAAATTTTCTCTAGGTTTTCCAATTTATTGGCATATAGTTGCTCATAATTGTCTCTAATCATCCTTTGGGTTTATGCAGTATCAATTGTAATGTTTCCTTTTTTATCTCTGATTTTATTTATTTGGG